CAGAATTTGAAGGCAGCAAAACTTTGGGAATTCCACCCAGACTACACCCTCCCTGGCTCTGGGGCCAAGGATCTGATCCCTTATTCAAGAAAAACTTATGTAAGTAGTTGCTCAACATGAGCACATACCTGAAACTCAGTGGAAATTAAGTAGATGAGGAAGTGTGTTGCTTAAAGCACAGCACATGAATATGCAGGGCAGGGGAGGGCAGAAAAACAGACTTTTACATTCATTTAAGTTAAAGAATTAATTTGGACTCGACCACAGTCTCTTTCTGTGACTATTCCACAGCCAAACTATGTGAGCATGAAAGTTTGTCGACAGCAAATGTTCAGCTATTTTGTGAAAGCAAATGTGGAAGTTTAAAATGTGGGCTGTGTTTAAAATTTAAGTTACTTTCACCAAACAGAACTGCTTGTTGCTTCATCTATGTACAGGACTGAGTATACTGGCAGTGCTTCCAGGATGAAGCAACAATAATTCTTTCATGAGATCATCAAGTAAATATAAGTATCATGTTCATGGACTATTCATACAGCAAAAAATAACAATAATCCAGGCAAAGATCATCTCTAATATAATTACAGCACTGCACCTCCCAACCATTGCGTGCTAGCACTGGTCATGTTGACCATTTATGTGCAGAACATTTTACTGGTGTCTCCATAAAAGAAAGAATCTTCTCCTTGTGGGCCTGCAGAGAGAACTAATTAACAAAAATAAATCTAACCCTTAGAACTTAAGTATGTCTGCCATTAAATTTTTAAATTCAACCACCTCAACATTTTGTGCTACAAATGACCTCCTGAAAGCAGCTCTCAATGGACCTCAACAGACAATCCTGATAATCCCCTTCATCCAAAGGCACATGATGCTGCCATCCTCAGTATCTCTCTGCCACCCAGGCATGAGGCTCTCACCCTGTATCTGACAGGATTTTTGAGGACTTTTCCAGAAACAGTTAGTACCTATAACCCATCCCTCATCTCCAAGGATGGGAAGATTACATTTTAAGTAAGATACTGGGGATGTGGTTGCTGTCTGTCTTCTTCTGGCTCCTGAGAAGGTTCATTTTCAAGAAAGGTTTCCAGATACATCCTATAAAACTTAAGTCGCTCTCACACTGCTCAGCTGTCTGTCTGTGCTTATTAGATTGTTGTGATTTCTTTACCACTTTCCTAGGATTGAGGCTTTTTTTTTTTTTATGTGAACAGAGTACATAAAGTATCAGTTACTGACATAAGGCTGAGGAACTCCTGTGTCATCCCAGAGTAACTTCACTAAACTCAAGTCAGAGAAGATATCAAGTACAGTTCAGTTTGGCAGACTCTTTGAAATACAGAAACAAAAGTTGTTTTCACAAACATTAAATAACGTTTTTCCCTTTACTCTCCATCTTTTTCCCAATTTTCCTTTTTTTTTCCTTTTTAGCCAAACCATTATAAGGATTGTGTCAGGTTTTCAGCCAAACCAGTACAAAGATTTCACTGAATTGAATTTCAAAGTGCATTCACAAAACTGCAATTAGAATTGAAGCATACACAAGTCCCAGACTGATGCCCAAGGCTCCATACATGGCAGGAAGGAAGCTTTGGGTATAATGACTCAGAGGAAAATATTAAATAATTAGACATGCATTTTTTTCCACAGAGAAATTGTATTGCATATCTTCACAGCAAAAAATTATCAATAAAATATATAAAGTACACCTACTTTTCATTTCAAAAATGAATCCTTGCGGTTTTATAAAATCCTCTCTGTGTTCAGTTATCTGTCACAGCACTACTTTGTCCCACAGAGATGCTGTAGGAAACAAAGTTTTGTGTGCAAAGGACAGACATGCAGAGCACTCACACTCTGCTGTAAACTTCCTCAAAAGGGAGAATCTCTTGCCATGTGTTTTTACTGTAAGAAGTAGTAAGTTACTTCTCTTCTAAATGGTACAAATATACAAATAAAACACTGTTACCCTGAATCCAGGCAAATCTCAGCACCCATAAACTCTTTGCAAGTGCTTTGTTAGCTGGAAAGGGCTAAAGGTGCCCATTTGATCACTTACTACAGCAATTCATTGAACTTTTCATTGTCCTTTTTGCTTCCAACTGTGTGAACAGAGTGCCAGAAGCATTTTGCTCCTGCACCTTATTTCAGGAGCCTTCTGCACACATTTCCTCTTGCACTGTACCCAGTCTTTATTGAACCTTCCCCGTCTGAAGTTGAACCCATTTAACTTGATCGGGTCAGCCCAATAAATTACAGGGCTGCTTCTGACAGCTCGGAAGAACGCATGTGGGAAATGTTCCTTTTGGAAGCCATCAGTAGGAAGTATCCCAGACACACAGATGGAGAGCATGTGTCACAGAAATTAAATGGGGCTGGGGTAATGCACCCAGAATAAAACACTCAGCCTTTTAGTAGTGGAAGGCCATTAAAAGAGTTTGGTGATGACACTCATGCAACCCAATACCTCCATTGATGATATACACTTATTTCAACCACCTAATGAAATTGGGTTGGTTTATTACTTTACTGCTTTCTTGAATTCAAAAGCATATGAAGGAAAAATTAAATTACCATTTTCTCCATGGCTAAGACTCTGTTTTCTATTGGCATCTTGTTTCATTCATTTTCTTCATCTTTACATGCTGTTCTACCTCCCTACACTGGCAAAGTTTGAACAAATATACAGCCCACCAAAACTTAGAAAAAGGGTTTCTGGTTTCCAGTTTAATCTTACTGAACCCAGTGAAAAGCCATCTTATGGAAAGATTGAGGAAATCTCTTATGAATGGTCATATATATGTCCTTACTCAGAAGTCCTTATAGAATGTGCTTAGCTCCACTTCACTGGGAATTAAGCACATGTTAAAATTCTTCCCTTTAGGAGGTTCCCCTTGGTCCCCCACCTGCTTGCAGATGATTGGTGTCTTCATCCCTCAGCCGCGTAGATCCAAGTTTTGCTATGACAGATGCCAAACCACTAATTCAGCAGTAGTGGAGGGCTCAGTGACAGGAGCCTGGACACCTGGTTTTTTTTTTAATTGAAACTCTCTGAATGTCAGGGGACTGCAGGTTTGCTCCAAAAATACATGTTGACAAAAGCAAAAAAACCCCAAAAATTCTTGAAATATTGACTAGGTCCTTTCCAACCTTTATTCTGTGATTTTGTGAATATCAAGGAGGCAGTAGGGGATGGGAAAATTGATGCTTTTCTTGTTTGTTATCTTTGGTGTTCATAAATGTGAGTGCTCCAGAAAACAAGCACACATAGGCTTTGCCACAGCCATAGAGCTCTGCTCTTTCATTATAACGAGACAAATTCTCACTATGTTCCAATTAATCAGTAGAGGGAAACTGAGGAATTGTAAGGATCATCTTCTTCTGTGCATCACTTAGCTGAGGAGCTAAAACTATTTAAGCCTAGGAGAAGATAAACTATTCAAAATTCATGTTATCCTGAGCTGACACACCTTGCCCATACTCACCTTGTTCTCTTACACCTTCATTTTCAGAGCTACCTGCCCTGCTTCATTTCCTGTTGTACCTATAGTACCTCAGATTGGTGTTTTGGGCCATTCTTGCACTCAAAGGTGCAAATTTGAAATGGACCATTCCTGGACAAAACGTTCATGTACCCAGATACAAGGGTGATGCTGAATTTTTCCAGCCAAGAAATGCCTGGTTATTTTTCCCCACCTAGACACTTCAGAGGAACAGTAAATCCATCATTACTGTTGTTGCACATATTTCAGCAATAAAGTACTTAATGCACTGCTGCAGAAATGAGAATCTTATAGTGTAAAAATCAGCTTGTCACAGAAGGAGCTGGCAGGCTGCCCTGCCCATTGAAACAACAAATTGACACCAGTTATACCCTCAAACAAATGAATCAGCCAAGGGATCCCAGAGGCCTGAGTGTAAGCTGAAGCTGTGAAATGGCATGTGGAGAGGTTACCAATTAATTTATATTGAAATATAAATGAAAACAATCAACTTCTTGTAGCCTTTAGCAATATTTTGAAAAAATATGATTCTTACCCACCTACAAACTTTATGGAGACTTTTTCAGAAGCTGAAGGCAAGCTTATTCATGGAATTTGATGGCCCACAGTGCTCCTGTTCTGCAGACAGGAAGCACTTATTTATATAAAATATAATGAATTAAATCCATATAGGAGAAATGTCAAGCGTCTCTCTATTCTTGGGTGCCTGTCTCTAGAATCTCCACATTAGGACTCTACAAGTGACAGAGGTTACCAAGTCTACAACAGACAGAAAGGACAAGGAATTGGTAAAATAAGCAGAATGAACAATGACCTTAAATCTAGACCAATTCTATTGATTATTCACATGGATAGGAATTAAATTGTCCTTCCCAATGTCTGTGGTAATTCAGTTTGGAAAAATAATGGACAGTGTCCTAGGCAAAGAACCAAATGTCCCAAGACCATTCCTTGTGAGCCTTTAGTCTTCGCTTTTCTCACTTCACATCTCTGGCTTCTCCTGCTTCATGGTGTCCATGGGGAGAGCCTCACTTGGTCCTTGGATGTGAGAATCTGGCACCATCAAGGCTCTTGATGAGATAAAAGAGGGTAAGTTTAATTAACACAGGCAAGCCTGCAAGTTCATGCCCAGTCCTTCCTATGAGCTATGACCTGTGCCTTCCACTCACTCCTTCCCAGTGGAAAGGAGATGCTGAAGATCTCAAAGATTAATGTCTTCTGCATATGATGTATTTGAAATTATTTTTAAGGTTCAGATATGAAATTCTCTCCCTGGGCACCAGCTGAGCCATGATAATGTATCTTGTCTGCTTTTCTGAGGCTGCAGATGACAGCTTAAATACCATCCTCTAGGGCTCTTGCTGAGGTTTAAGCTGATGTGTTTTATTTCCCCTTCACTGAAGGCTAACAGGGTAGTCAGGGCTGTCCTCTGTGCCTCAGATGACTTGCTGTCACTTTGGGAGATGCAGCTGCTCCCCTGATTGTTATTACTGGATGTTAGCACTTGATTTCACCAGTATCTTAGTCAAAATCCACTGGATCTTGACTTCAGGAAAAGATCCAGCTCCTGGAAATGAAAGAAGTCAATCAAAGCTGAGAAACTACTTCCAGCCCTCTACAAGCCCAGTTTGAGGAAGTTCAAGCTCAGCATTCAAACTTTCCATGAGCTGCAAGGGAACCTACAGAAATATCTGACAAAGATAGACCTGGCAGATAAAACTTCCAGCTCCAATAACCGTGGGCTCTCCACCTGGCTCCTAGGAGTTACCCACCTTATAATTTCTGTGCCTCTAGCTCCTTCTCTATACATCTTTTCTCTACAAGTGTCTGATACATTTTCTTTCAGAAATGGCCTATGATGTTCAGTAAAGCAAGTGTTTCCTATTTTTGTTTGGCTTTGAATTGCTGCTTCTATTTCAGACATGGGGGACAGGGCTTGTATACACAAACCCTTGTTTACTTTTTCCAGCTGTACTATATATGCTCTAACAGAATTGACCACCCCATTCTGTTAATCTCACCCTCTTGTTCTAGGGATAGTCACACAGACAGAGCTCTTGTATGAGGACAAAATGTGCACCTGTAACAAGCAACACTCTCTCTCTAAGTCTTGAGATTCTGTCTTGGTGACTTTTTGCCGAGTTTGTACAGCAATCAAAAGTTAATCTTTTAATGTCTGTATACAGTTTTCAAGGTAAAGTGATTAGAGAGTCTTTGGCTGTTGAACCACAGGTGGGGGAAAGCCTTCAAGAACACAGTTAGTCTTTTTTTTATTGTCCTGTATCTGTTAATTCCCCACGGATTTGACTGTCCCATCTTTAAGGCCCTTTGGTGACAGAATATATGCAGCCTGCTCAAACAACCCAGATAAGTCCATCTTTGGCTTTTTCTTTAGAAAGATTATTTTTACCTGAAAAGATGTGTTGACTTCTGTATGGACCTCATTTAAACCAATAACTTGTCACATTCACCGCTAGAGTTCTCAACAAATGTGCCACTGTCTGAAATGTCTCTACACAGCACTGGTTTAATGAACAACTTGGTGCTTCTTTGTACGTTAAGGAGTCTTTTTCTTGCACTTTTTTATTGAGAGGAAGAAGTGCTATCCATGTGGGAACTGAACCCTTGATTGCAGGTTGGGAGATCAGTATGTCGTGCATGAGGCTGCTCATAGACAACGTATGACTCGGATTAGAAAAATCTGTTGAAATTCTCTCTGCCAAACTCTCTTCCATGAAAGCTACACTCTTGGACAAATTTTTATGTTTAGTAATTGAGGAAAAATTATGTCATCATTGGAGAGAATCAGTTTGGTGCATCTTAGCAGAGGGAGCAGGACAGCACAGTACACTGGATGGATGGATTGAATGCTGACAGCATAAATTAGACACCCATGGGGATATCCTTCCTTTTAAAGCTGCATAAGTGAGAAAAGGTGATCTGCACATTTCTGCAATCAGGGAATGTTGTCTGTTTCCTAATTCTGGCGCCAACTCTGCATTTGAATTCCAACCATATTGTTACAGTCCATTAATTTTTGTAGACTGAAGCTGTTGCAGTGCCACACAGGGAAAATATGTAACACAGATGTGTTTTCTGTTATGAATTTTCCTTTTTTTTTAAATGTTTTTAGAAATAGCTGTAAAATAAAATAATAAAAGCACTCCAAACAATTCATACATGGACTGAAATTAAATCCATATCACTCTTTGGCTGGTTGCAGAGCTGTAGTGCTAAAGCTGGGAACACTCCTGCCACCTATTTGCAGTGTAATTAGAGTTCATTTGAAATCTGATGGAATTTCATTCCTATTCTGAAGGACGTCTGTTGCAATAAATTTGTTTCTTGGACCAAAGAAAAGCTAGTCAAAGAATTAATAGCAAAGGGCAGCTATGCTGCAAGCATCTGAGAGGGGTCTAGCTTGCTCAGCTTTTTATGGATGGAATGCAAATGCCATTAAAAGCAGCTCTAGAGCATTTGCTCAGAGGAACTTGTCCTGTAATGTGTTCAGCTTGTTGCAGTTATTCTTTCTCCCTGTGTCACTAATTTTGAACAGCAGGATAAAGGCACTTGGAGGACACCACCACAGCAGGCACAGAGACACTTGTCAGAATAATTCCCTGCATTAGGAGGGTGAGGTAAAAAGGCAAACCTGGCTTGCATTAATGCCCCTATTAGCACATGACTTATAGAAAACCCAATAATGCTTAAATGTGGTCCCTCCTGTGTCCTCCTGTGCCCTGTGTACCAGCAAACCCAAAAAAGTTTGAAGAAATGACACTGCAAATTAGGCACTCCCTGCCATGCTTTTTTCCATTTGAGTTTGTTGCATGAAGTAGGAAATATGTGAATTCCTTTATGTTCCCTCCATATCTGGGGTGTCTCCATTGTTTTATGTGACTATAATATGTTGAAATGTATATCAGGTTTTGCCTTTTTTTTAACAAGAAAAAGATTATGACCTAATGAAAAAACCAGTGTAATTTTCTATTTACCCCTTCTTCCAAAAGGGTATTTTTATACCCTCAAAAGGTAAATTAAACATTCCTCACAGACATATACGGTATCTTCCATATACACCATACAGAAACCAATCTACATGCTTACAGCAAACATATACCTACATGTACATAATTGCCAATTAGTATTGAATTAGCACAGGAAAGAGAAACTTAGTAGATTTTAATGTCAGAACTAGTATCTTACTTGACAGCTATACAAGGTTTAATATTGTATTACATCTCACCACAGACAGCAGGAGTAATTTTATTGCACCAAAAGAAACTGATACACACTTTGCAGGTTCCATGGTGCTTATAATATCTTTTCCATACAGTTTCATGCTTTTTTTTTTTTCTTGGTAAGGCTTTATTCAACTCAGCTTGGCAAGTGCAGTCGTCATGGTCCTGTAAACTTAATAGGGTGATGACAATTTGCATCTGCAGAGGAGAAATCCCAGGAGAAAGAGAAATTTCCTTCAGAGAAAAGTGCTAGTACAGCCAGAGTTTATCAGGAAAACCTGCACAAGCAAGTGTAGGCCCTAACAAGATGCACATATTGCATTGATTTTCTGCTTCACTGAGAGAAGGGAGTGACTACACTAAATACAATTTCTTCCACACTATCTGGAACATACTTAGCTGTGTCATCAGAAGTATTTTTTAACAAAATGAAGACTTTACCATAGCTATTAAAAATGCAGCAATAAAGCAAAAAGTCTTATGAGGTGGTGACATAAGTGGTCATGATTCATTTTTATGAGAAAACAATATAGTGAAGACTGAGCCAGACTCTTCCTAGAGGTGCACAGTGGGCAAGAGGCCATGGAGACAACTCACAAGAGTAGAACTTCCAGGCAGGTATTAGGACAAAATCTCCCACTAAGGGTAGTAAGATATTTGAGCAATATGCCCAGTGAGGTTGTGCAATGTCTGTCCCTGACAGTATTCAAAACTCATCTGGAATAAGTCCTGAGTAACCTATCTAAACTGGCTCTTTTTTGAGCAAGTGGTCAGACTATATGATTTTCAAAAGTCTCTTCAAAACATTCATTGTTCTTCTTTCACAGATCTGTGATGAGATTTAGTTAATTCACAGGAGTAAAATAGCTTTGCTGTATTTCCAGTTCTTAAACAGACTTCTCTGACAGAGACAGGAAACCACAGAAATTCTCAATTTTAGTTTTCCTACGTGAAAAATGGAAATGAAAGTATTTGTCTAATCACAGTGGCATTTGTGTAGTGTAGACCATCATTGTCTGCCAAGTGCTTCAGGTACTAACAAGGGTGATATCACACACACATTTAAACACATTATGAATAGCCATTAAATAATAAGAGCAACACTTGAACTTGTTTTTAGAAATCATAGCTATCCTGTCCATTGGCAACTGGGTTACAGTTCCTGATGATGTCCTTTCAAATATTGCCTGGAGAGCTGGGACAAGCTCTGTGTTGCCTATGACTCATTTGTGAAGTTTGTGTTCCCCAAAATAAAAGATTTTCATGCCTTCACCTGCCCCATTACATCAAGCCTGCTTGAAACCTGGTCTGAAAGTTTTCAGGTGTCAAATGAAGGTGAAACAGGTCCTTAGACAAATAAGGGAAATCCCATTATTTGGAGTACATAACTGGTATCTAAGTAGGCCTATTTTATTTTTGGTCATCGAGTGAAGAGATACCTTAAAATCTGATGATTAGTAGGTGACCAGCAATGCATCCTAAATAGGCAGCAGAGGAGAGTGAAGAAAGACTAACTCATACATAACTACCCTGTCTCCCTTTTACAGGGCAGGTATTTGCAAAGGCTGAAGTTTACCTCACTCAAGAAGAGGCATGGAGAGCACTTGAGAACCACTTAGGTCCTTAAAATAGGACTTAAGTGGGACTTAAGGGCTGTTCCAGCCATCTGTGTGGATGAGAATACCACCTACAAAGAGCAGCATGGCCCAGACAAAGACCTGTTCATGGGAGAGCTCACAGATAATGAGTAACACGAGGTTTAAATGCAGCTGAGATGGATAACTGACCAGAACAGGAAAGATGCTCACTGCTTTAGCATGGCTCTGCATCCTGCCCATTGTACATGTGTGTGGGGGGAGTGCTTGCATGTATACAGGCAGAAGAAAACACTTAAAAAACATGCACACACACAGACAAAGTTATTATTGTGATGTCCTTAGCATGCTTGGGAAGGTTGAATGAAAAATAATGTCAGACTTGTTCTGTATTCAGCTATGGAGAAGGAGAAATGCTGCTGCTAATAAAGGCAGATTTGGCAGCTGTGGAGCCTTGGCAAGGGTACAGAGTTCCTTCGTGTGCTACTGAATAGCTCCAGCTGTGCACAGCTTGAAATGTATCTTGAAAGCACTGAAAGACAGCTGTCCTGCTCACTGCCCTGCTTGCCTGGCTGAGAGAGGATGAGGACGCTTTTAATTGTAAGTTTATGTGGTACTTTATGCAGTACTTCTTCCCCTGCTCCTTCTCCCTTTTCCTGGTGCAATAACATAAAAAGAAGATGTGTCCATGGGACAGCCAGCAGGTAGCAGCTGACACAAGTCAGCCCAAT